TTAGATATATTTAAAATGGAAGAAATAATAGGTAAAAAGCAAAGGAAAGGTAAAACGCAATACCTAGTTAAATGGCAGGATTTTCCTTCGACTCAAAATACATGGGAACCAGAAGAAAACATCTTTGATAAACTAGTAGTGCAAAAATATTTAGAGAAGACGAAAAAAAGTCTACATGTTTCCGCAATAACAAGGGTATCTTTGATTAAACAACAAGATGACAAACAGACCAGAAATAGACTTTTGCCAATTTTCCATATAAACTGATCATGGAATATAATGGTTTCCATTATTCTCTCATGCTTACTAGTCTTACCTACATTGACCACAGGGTTATTTATCGGTGAAGTCTATGATTGTACAAAAGTGCAGCCTATCGGAGTTTATCAGCTACCTTCAATATTATCTTGTGCACATAATATGCATTCCTTAAACGATTCTGTAAAGACATTCGTGGCAGATGTTTACGCCTACGGACCACAGACAACGACAGTAATATTATATCATTGCTATGCCGAAATGGTCACCCTCACATGCCAATCAAACTTCCTTAACCAAAAGTCAAGAGAGATAGATTCAAAAAAGATGTCTCACAGCCATGACTACCAAAATTTCTTCATATGGAGCACTGCAAGTAGCTGGCCCTAACGCATGGAGAACAGTAGTTTCAGACGAATTTCATTGCTCATGGTTGCGCACAAAAACAAAGGATTATGTGCGCTTCAATATGAGCATATACGAAGGACAACTTACCGGGCGATCTTTAACGATAGAACAATATGTCACAAAGAGTCCGTGTTATTATGTCATGCGTCGGTGTGTGCCTACTGAATGGTCAGAATCAGTAATTGTCTGGGAGTCCATTAAACACAACGAAGAAGTCATGAAAAAGATAGGTACATACCCTATCGAGCAGATTAGAGAATTTATCCTAATCAGGAGCCTGAAAATCGGGGGTGCAATACAGCTATCAGAACAAAAGGGTAACGTGCTTACTCTGGATAATAGCATGATCCTAAAAGATCCCATGTTCCCAGAGGATGTTTTTCAGCAATACAAGTCCGCTGCAGCCAATTATTCGCAGAAATTAGGAAATGATCCAGCTACGGCCATTTTGGAAGCGCACATTTCCGTCACCCTCATGTCCCAAAAAATTAGTATGTGCCTGGGAGCAAATATGCTTTATACAGACCGAAATTTCCCATCGGTGGATGATTACTCAATTTCCTACAACATGGGCAGAATGGATACACCAATCTTCGGGTGTGGCTGTTGAACCAGCCGGCGATGCTCTGTTACTGCCAAAGTGCGTAAATTATGCTAGATATGCCATAAACTTTGCCCGGAAGATAGGCGATTTCTGTTTTGAGCACTTCCCTATAACTTTACCAAATTCAAATATCACTTATTTTTTGGAAGTTGGTGATAGGAAGTTAATAAGGACTAGTCCTCGCATCCCTTGTAAGCTCAGACCCAAACACACCTATCTACAAGATCCAAGACTAAACACCATGTACAAAGTAACAGCCTTCGGACGAGTTAAAATTGTTGGAACTCAGCTAGATAACGTTCTAACTTCAAAGACTAAACCAATTCCCCGCATTTGAGGCTATAGTAAGGACATTTTAGTCGATAAACCACAATGCCTTTCACCGTATACGGTCTTACAACTGATATCAGCGTTGCATGAAATGTTACAAACACACAAAAGCATTAGTGATACAAATGGAGGAGATATTTTGACAGGCATTGGTATGGCCTTAGGCAGTGCCCTACAAGCCACAGCAAGCGGAGGGAGCCAAATTATTAAAGCTATCGGAGGAGCCATTAAGGACTCCTTAAGTGGTGTTTCCAATTTAGACGAAAAATTAGTTCAATCAATTGGTGTTGCTTCATCCACAGTATTAAAAGCCGCAGGAGGAGCTGTAAAAGATGTTGGAGAAGGCGCAGGCTTCTTTTTCCATAAATTTCTAGGTGGTATTAGTGGATCCATTTTGTGGGCAGCAATACTCCTCATAGTAATCTATTTGATAATGAATCAACGTTATTTCAATTATGCCTCACCATGCCTAAAATGTTTTCAAAAACACTTGGAAAATGAGGCTATGGTGCAGCCACGACAAGATAAGTCCACATCAATGTCCCCTAAAGGAAAAAGACATTCCACACGTGCTTGCAAGTATCCGGCTTGTAAAGATGTCCATAGAGACTAAAAGATTACTTGTTAACGGTATTGGCAGGAATTAAAGCTTCATTAGTTCCCGGATGGAGATTTGGAACGCCTCCAACCACCATGAGTTTCGTACAAAGTTAGTCGCGTTTTGTAAATAATTATGTCATTTATTCGAGATATTATTGTTTTACAGATATTTTACTGATTCTGCTGGTTATTCGAGATGCTGTTGTTTGCAGAGATTTACTGATTCTGCTGGTTATTCGAGATACTGTTGTTTGCAGAGATTTACTGATTCTGCTAATTATTCAAGACATTATTGTTTTACAGAGATTTTACTTATTTTGCCGTTTATTCGAGATATTGCTGTTTGCAGAAATTTATTGATTCTACTGATTAGTGGAGGTATTGTTGTTTGCAGAAATTTATTGATTCTACTGATTAGTTGAGGTATTGTTGTTTGCAGTAGTTTATTGATTCTGCTGATTATTCAAGATATTATTGTTTTACAGATATTTATTGATTCTGCTGTTACTTCGAGATTTTGTTGTTTTACTGAGATTTTATAAGTTCTGATGTTTTGGTGATGCTTTTAAGTCCGAGGATGGACTTTTTCTGTTTTGGTAAGTAATGTTACGAAGGTATCAAACAAAACTACTCAAGCGGTTCACTGAAGTTCAACAAAGCGTATAGCGTTTGAATAAACATTTGTTTATCAACCAAACTGTTTACTAACCATAGCTGCGTCTAGCGTCTGTTAAAGATATAAAAATGCGAAGAAGACGAGATATGACGTGTATGTGAATATAGATATAGGAGATATACAAGGTCGGGGTTGAAGTAGATAGTCATCCTGAAGAGTTAGTGAAGCAATATCAGACTAATTAATTTAAAGACAAACTATTTAAGAAAGTAATATAAATTGTATTTATATATATTTGATTATTTATATTTGGGTAAACAAGACGAAGTTGTTTATTTTCAATAAAGTTACTTTATAACATTTTGGAGTAAACCTATAATGTATAACCACAAGAGAAAACTATTACGTAACAATAATATATATAAATATATATATATATATATATATATATATATATATATATATATATAAATATATATATATATAAATTTATATATATTATATATATATATATATATATATATATATATATATATATATATATATATATATATATATATATATATATATATATATATATATATATAATATATAAATTTATATATTATATATATTATATACATATATATATATATATATATATATATATATATATATATATATATATATATATATATATATGTTTATTTATTTATACATATATATGAAATGTTTACTGTATCAGGCATCCTATACTTTTTAATTATTTAAAAGTTAAGAAGTAAGCTACATTGACTGAGGATTTGGCATATAGCAGCAATCTTTTTTCTTTTATTATTTCAATTAAAATTTCTAATGTTTAAAACTCTCCACTAACGAGAGCGCAACAAGCAAAAAAATATAATTATTTTAGAGCGCTAAATTGTATTACCTAAAATTACATTGTATTTGTTAAGAATTTTGTATTTTTAATCTAGGTTTATTCTTAGTTCTTCATTGCCCTGTAGGATAATGATTTTTTGATTTAATTTACACAGTCTGTGTCACATGTCTTAAATAATTAAAGTAAAAAAAAATTCCGGCATTTCGGCCTGAATTATTATAATTCCAGCCAGAACCAGAATGAGCTAAAAGTAACAAATTCGGGCTGAAATGTCAGCTGGAATGGAATTCTTGTACTTCCCTAATTTAGAGTAATATTTTTTCTTTTATTAATACAAAAAAAAAAAATATTTAGTTTTAAAAGGTTTTAAATTTATATGCTATTAATTTTTTTATATTTATTTCTTCTTGTTTTTAATAATTTGTAGACAGTTAACTGTTATATGATGTAAAAGGTTTTTCAATATTTTTAGTTGATTATGTCATCAAAAAAATAAATTTTTGCACTCATTCAAAATCTCTAATAAAAAATGAAGAAATAAACCAACCAGTTAAGGATGCTTGTAAATCTACATATGGTATTATGTTTTTTTATGTTAAAAATTTAAAATGAGTTTTAAGAATTTGGCTGAATTTTGAGTAAATTCTCAAATTTGTTATAATATTTTGCTGATAGTAATTTGTATTTTTTTAAGTTTCTATTTACCCACTGTTGACTTTTTACTTGTTAACTTAACTTGTATTTCTCAACATGAACCATTGGTTTATTTGATTCACAGTGTGCATTTACTGTATTATGTGTTTTATATTTATATATTTATTTATTAAGCAACATAGCTAAATAATATTTTTGTATTAAATGTTTATGAATGGATGAATTTTATCAATATTATTTTTTTATATTTATTTTAAAATTATAAACATTTTAAATATTATTTATATAAAATATTTTAATGTTTAGTATGATATATTTATTAACATTCAACATCATGATTATTTTACAGATCATGGTGATGATGTAATGAATAATAAAATACCTGTGTGTTGTCATGGTGATGATATAATGAATAATAGCTGTTGTGCTCACACTTTTATAGCTGCCAAAAGCATTGTATACAATTCAGAAGCAAATGTGTCATTTCGTGAAGCTTTGAAAAAATCACAAGATGACTTTTGCAATGGTTCTCAAACCACGCAGCAGGAAGCTTTTATTCCAATGGTGAAACCAATGGACAATTCATTTGAAATTTCAAATAATGATTTGTTCAAAACTTTCAAAAAGCCGTTTGATGATTCGTTTGATATATCACTATCAAGTACATCTTCACCACTGCGTCTAAGACATGGTCAGACTAAAGCTAATTCATCATTTTTAAATATTACAGCTGGTGGCTCACCTCGTTGCTGCAGTCTCACTAAATCTGGAATGCGATGTAAAAATGCTGCTGTTTTAAATGAAGATAATTGTAGGCTTCATTCCAAATAAATCCTGTTTTCAATTTGGTAAGAAATTAATTCATTTTATTTATTTTTTATTTTTAATAGGAAAAATTTAATCTAGGTTAGTGGCTAACCAAGACTAATTTGCTGATGGATTTTTGTTAAGTAAAATTAGGGTTGAACAGAGTCGATTTTATTAAAGAAAGTCAGGGCTTATTTAAAATTAACAAAGTGTATTCACCCCAGATAATACTCTTAAAAAATGAAAAAAGCAGGAAAAAAATTAAGAATACATAGGCATAAATGCCCCATCCCAGAATCCCACAAATATAGATATATAAATGTGTGGGGTTATCAAATGTATATAGCATGAAGTATTTAATATATAGTATAATGTATTTTGCTGCTATTTCATATTTCGAAATCCATTTAGACTTTCAAAGTTGTGTACGTGTTTTTGATTTAAAATATTTAAACAAATAATAAAGAAAGAATGTTTTTTATAATTTGTTTAATAGTATACTTATCAAGACAAAAAAATTTATCGATTTTATATATTTTTATATATAAAAATTTTATATATAAAAAATATCAAATTTATCAAAATAAAAATAGTTATATGGTTATTCAACTTGCCTACCATCTAACTCTTGGTAATCTTTCAAGGAGAAAGGCCAAGAAAACAAGCAGGCTATTCGACTTGGGCCTTATCTGCCTATCCATCATCGAGGCAACTTTCAATTAAGCCAGCTTCTTACTTAACAGGAATAATGGGCTGATGCCCCATTTTATTGAAAGTACACACCATGTCGTTTAACTTTAGGCCATAAAAACTCCTTAACATTGGTAAATATAAATACCTTGTGATCGCATTGCTGAAAAGGTATAGACCAAATTCACCATCTGAGGTTATTCAACATGTGTCCAACTTCTTTGAGTTGAACACAGGTTTTTATTTTTACTGATTAGAGTAAGCCCAATAGCAACAATTATAACGGTTTATAAAACCGCTCAGCATGTTGGCTTTCATTTGACCAAAAAATTTTGTTTAGTAAATTGGAATTTTCTTGACCACATGATATCACAAACCTCCATTCTTTTGCCGGAAGCATCTTTGCTTAGTTCTTTACTTGGTCTGGATGGTCGAAGACCTATTCTTTTTTATTTAAAAATGGGCTTCTTTCAGCTCTAGAGCAATGTTTTTTGAAATGTTTTTGATGTTTTTTAATTTTTAATGAAAATATAATCAAAGTAATTCCTTTTCTCTCAGTAAAAAGAAGATAAAACGCGGAATACACATAAACAGTAAAGTATTTAATAACTTTTACAAAAAAATTTCGCTTAAGGCCGTTTTACACAAGACGAATTTTTTGCGCGAAGCGAATTTTTTTCGTCGATTGCCATGCGTAGTAAAAAATTTTTTGCAATCATATATATGCAGCCAAAATAAAGGAGAATTTCTAATTTTTTTCGAGAAAACCAGTTTTATTTAAAATAAGTTTTGAATATTATATCGCGTGATGTCAATAGTGAAAAAAGCGCTTTCACGTTTTTTAAAATGGCAGCTAAACAAAATTCTCAACTTGATATTTCAGAAGTATATAGGTCTTGCAGAAGTAGGTCTTTTCAGAAGTAGGTCTTGCAGTAACAGTTATTTAACAGAAGTTTTTCTATCAGAGGTTAGCTTTTCTTTCAAAGGTAAGATATATTTTCTTTTTTGCTTACGATCTAAATATAGTTTTTCTTGGCATTTGCTTAAATAAAACTTTAAATACAACAATATTTTTTTAAAAAGCATACAACAAAAACTAGTTGCTGCCATATTTGTTGTTGATAGTGAAAAAATTAGCGCAAAAATATGTTCGGTTGAAATCAAAACGGCGAAACGAAAAGATTTGTGTCGCACGATTTTTTACGTTTTGTGGCATCTTAATAACTATCCTGCTGTTGTTATATTTTTTTTCTTTGCCGCGTGTTGAGATTTTTAAAATAATATTTTTATATTCATATATTTATTTATAAATATAAAAGTTAGTTTTATATATTTTTCTATAAATATTATTTATATTTATGTATATGTTTATAAGTAGGAAAAGTTATTTATATTTATGTATTTGTTTATAAATAGGAAAAATTAGAAGAAAAAGCTGTTGTTTAAAGATTTCAATATTTATTGCTGACAGTAATTTTGGCTATTTGGAAAATATATTTTCAATTTTTTATTTAAGTAAAAAAAGTATTTATATTTTATATTTATTTATATTAGTAGTTAAAGCTAGTTGTACTCAAAAAATACTTAAATCTAATTTTTGTATAGAAAATAAATATCTTAGATTATCATACACATAATATCATACATTATCATACACATAATATCTTACATTATCATAGACTTAAATGTCTTAGATATTTTCGAAAAGCTAATAAAAAAAGGTATTGAAAATTTTTGAGTAATATATTTAAATTGTTTGTTTGCTTTTTTGTTGTTAATATTTTTTTGAAAAAACATTTTTAAAAAAAAATATTTATATTTTATTTATTTTATATTTAATTATGCAGTTTATTTTTGATTGCTTATATATATATTATGCTTATACTTTCCCAAAAATACAAAAAATTAAAAAAAGCAATTTACACTACTTGATTTTGACGAGATTCTTTGTTGGTTACAACGTGTTAACGCGTTTGAATTATTTATTGCTGATTTTTTTTTTTGACATTATTTGAATTTGATTTTGTACTAGATTTTAATATAAATGAAAATTTTAATATAAATTTTAAAGTTAAATCTTTTTTATATTTATACATTGTAATAGCTATTTCAAGAAAAAAAATTCATTTTATGATAGTTACGGATTCAGTAATTTTTACAAGATCAAAAGAGATTGTTACTAGGGAAGAGTGACCTTAAACGGGCCCATTTTCAAAAAAATGATAAAATTAACTAACTGTAACTAACCAAAAATTACAAAGTTTTTTCAGGAAATTTAATATATGTTCCATAATTTAACATCAGAAAATATTATGTGTAACTATGCCTTACGTTATGAAACAACCGTTGAACAAAGAAATGCAAGAAGTCCATTTTCCGTGGAGGTAGCTTAAAATAAGCCCCTTAATTTAATTTCTGAATAAAACCTAATTATTAAAATTTGACTCTGAGTAAAGAAAAATTGACAATAACTTCAATTATAGTCAAACTAAAAAATTTAGTTCAATAAAATTTTAAAAGAAGTACTTTCAAACATTCTTTTTGCCAAAAATTAATAATTAAAAACTATTTTTCGGATGGTTTTCTTAAATGTTTATGGTCAGGCAAACAATAATCTACAATTAAACTTATAATTATTAATAATTATTGTCCAAGTAAGAGGTTTGATAGGGGCCCATCTAACCTTAGGGGCTCGTATTAGACCGGTAACCGTAGCCTACTCTCATTGCACACCCGGGCATCTTGTCGGAGATAAAAATTAGAACAGAAACATTTCAGCACATTTAATTTTTTTATCATATTTACGCAATAGTATATGCATGGAAGTAATTGTATGTAAAGTTTATATGTAAAAACGCAATATTTAATAGATATTTACTCAAGTGTATATGTAATATAAATATTGTCAGACAAGTTATAAACTTTCCATTCCCTGATTATTTTTTTTTTTTAGAGAAAGTTCTAAAACACCACTTTATTGTTCTTAAAATATCAAAAATACAATTTTAAGTATAACTTCAAGTTCTATAGACGGGTTTGCATTGTTTACATTCTAACGCAAAATCTACAGGCAAAACATTTGATCTAAAGCTAAGAAAGCATAATTTATGGTGTGAAGTTTGTGCTAGTAAACTATGTGAATAGGAAAATGTCAAAATTCGTTAACCAGTATCAAAAAATACTTTGTTTAAATGCCAATTTTTAAAAGTAAAATAAATTTAAAATTAATAGAATATACTTTTATTAATCTATACTTCTATCAAGCGAAGTTATAGGAAAACCGAGAATTCGTATCAAAATTTACATAAATTAGCATCAAAAGTTGTTGTTTTTAAAGTTATTAGTTAGTAAATCGATGAAACAGAGAACTGTAATGACACAGACGCTGCTTATGAAAATGAATTTTACTTTACTCCTAAAGATTAGGCTGAACCAATTACTGCTCATTATGAGTCATTGCTTATTAACGAAAGCCAAGATAAAATTACAAAAAATCAAGTTTCATTCAAAGATTCATTTTAAGAGTAACCTATTCCATTCTTTCCTAATCAAATACAGTTAATAAATCCAAAGATATGTATTTGTGTTTAAGTGTTTGTGATACACACATGTGAATAAGTGGTGAGTGTACAAATAGCATTGCGTATTATGGTAAGCAATCTGACGTCATAGTGAAATAGCCTGCTGCTGGGGGCAGCAGGCTATTTCAGTATGACGTCAGATTGACAAATAGCCAGATTGACAAATAGCCTGACTTGCAGTGGAGTACATCGACTGGGGGTTTGGGATGGGGAAGCAATCGTTTTATTCACCATTCTTCGTTTTTTCTTCTTCTTTTTCGAAAAAAACAGTTTAGCCTAAGGTAAGCAGAAAAAGTGTGCAAATGCTTATCAAAACACGCTTTAGTATGTGTGTGTATGTGTGTGTGTGTGTGTGTGTGTGTGTGTGTGTGTATGTGTATGCGAATAAGTGTTGGTGTATATAATGTATACATATACAATATTATTAAATGTGTGTATATGTATTCATGTTTGTATATGTGTATGTATGTGTGTTATGTTATGCTATGTTTGTATATGTGTATATATATGTGTGTATATGTATGTGTGCATGTATATGTACGTGTGTGTATATACGTTTATTTGTGTATAGTATATACGAATCTACATATATGGGTGTATATTATGTTTGTATACAATTAATGTATACATACCTGTATTGAATACAGGGGGATATAAGTATATGTGTTTATATGTATTTGTGAACGTAAGTTTGTATGTGTGTTTGTATGTATGTATTTGTATGTGTCTGTATATGTGTGTATTTATGTGGCTAATACTAAATTACTAGTATTTTTTTTTTGATTATTGTAATTATTTTTATTTATGTCATTTTATTTTTATTATAATCATTGTACTTTTATCATTGTATTGTTATTACTGTTACGACTACAACTTTTATTATTATCTTTATTAGTATTTTTACTCCTTCAACTTTTAATGTTCTTTTTGTTACTGCTGTGGATGATTAATATTTCTATTTGCATTAATTAATATATTTATTAGCTTTTATTTACAAGGTTTTTACTTAAGATTAGTACATGTACTATTTGTAAACTTCCGTGAATGTAACAACTATTTCAGAGTATATATGAATTGAATTGAATTGAATCAAATTGTTAATGAAATCTCATCAAAATTAACTTAATGCAATAGAAAATTTGTCTAAAACACTTCTTGGAAAAACACTTCTTGGAAAATTCACAGGGCTGGACTTCATCTGTTTATAAAATACTGAATCTGTTTATAAAATGTAGTACAATGTAAATATTGGTAACCCCCTCACAAGTCTTTATAAGTCAAATAATGTAATATTCTGAAATTGTTTGCTATATTCCTAAAGATTATAATCTTAAAATTGAAATTATTGCAAAATATAAACTTTTGAATCCAATATCTCCACAACAAATAAGTCTTTCCATTACTGTCGCAGGTTTGTACATTGATGTTGATTATTCTTAGTGCAAGTCAAGATAGAATCAAAATCAAGATAGAAAAATAAAATTTTCATGGAACGGCTATTTTTTAAATGAAATTCTCTTAAATTATAGAAACAGCTTAGAGTTCTGGAAATATGACCAAAATTATCCAATTAATAAAAATGGTCTAATTAAAACTAATCACAAGTATTACTATTAAATACAACAACAAACGATGGTAACGAAAACAAAATATTTCTGTTAAAATAATAGAAAAATGACAAATGATATACTCTGTATCTAAGAAATTCTGTTCTAGATTTAAAAATAAACTTAAAACAGTTTTTTAAGAAATTACATTTAAAAAATTGTAACAAAAAAATTGAATCCAAATCACCTACAGCTGTTCTGCGTGTGTAAATGTTCAAAATTTCTTCTTTTGACTAAATGTATTAATTTTCATTGTCAAGTTAAATGGTATATTTACTTCAGTCTTCAAATAAAAAATGGTTTTTCTCTACCTGCATTTTGCAGCATAAAGACAATAAAAAAAGCTTTTGTGAAACACTACTAAATAAAATTTAACTTTTTTAAAAAAGGAAAACATATTTTATGATTTGTTGATAAACCTTTTGTCATAAAACATTTTCTAAACGTTGTAAATATTTAAATTTTTTAAAATATTTTAAATAAAAAAATATAAATTTTGGTTAAATTACATTTAAATTATTTTTTAACTTTCCTTTGAAACAGACTTATAAATAGCTAAAAAGTTTGATATTATGCAAATTTAAGGACTCGCGACAAACATGTAATTGTATATAAATAAATGTAATTGCACTTACATTTAATTATCAAAAAAGATTTATACATTCAATTATATATATATATATATATATATATATATATATATATATATATATATATATATATATATATATATATATATATATATATATATATATATATATATATATATATATATTTATATATATATATATAAATATATATAAATATATATATATATATATATATATATATATATATATATATATATATATATATATATATATATATATATATATATATATATATATATATATATATATATATATATATATATATGTATATATATAAATATATATATATAAATATATATATATATTTAAATATATATATATATATATAGCAATTCACATATCAAGCTATGACTGATTGTCATTCAAAAGTCATACATTTGAAAAAACGAAATTTAAAAATGAGTAACACTAATAAATTAACAAATAGACTAAAACAAGAAACATGGAACAACGTATATAAATGTCAAGATACAAATGGAGCTTTTTTAAGTACATTTTTGGAGTACTTTAATGAAACCTGTCCTCAAGAGAATATAAGAATTAAGTCAAAAGCAATTGCTAATCCGTGGATGGATAAATCGTTATTAAAGTGCTTAAAAAAAAAGCAAAAACTTTACAATAAATTTCTGAAAAATAAAAACAATGATAATGAAAAAACTTACAAAAATTATAAATATTTTTACCAAGATCTCATTAAAAATGCAAAAAAAAAAAAAAATATTACAGTAATCAAATTATCAAATGCAAATTTGATTGCAAAAAAACATGGTCCATCATAAATATCATAATGGGAAGAGAAAAACTAAATTCACCTTCTCTACCTAAACGAATTG